ACTGAAGCAAGCAAGCCTCATGTTAGTTTCAAGCTGCCTGGCTGCCGGCCGCCATCTTGGCTGACAGTTAATTTGCATATCTCGCTGATTAGCCAATGAAAAGGGTAGCGGTCGTACGCCAATTACCATGTTTCTCTTTTAATAGTGTAGATGATTACTTGGCACTAAGCATTTTCAGAGAAGGTAAGTATTTTCACAGAAAATAAAGAATACTTACAACTCCCAAGCAATATTATACATGGTGTTTCAGAATGAATAGACCTAACCCATATAAGAGAATAATTCTCTCTCAGCAATAGCTAAATAGTGAAAACTTCAGCAATTTTTTATCCCAAAAGATACTTTCTTGTAAAGATTTTACTAGCATACAAAAAGAGTGAATTGAATATGAAGCAACCACATTTTCCTCAAAGCATCTTCATATGAATATAGTATTTATTTTTATATGAATATAGGAATTGTCTATATAATTATATTGTTTTTTTTTAAAAATCTAACTTTTCAACAACATTGTATAGCTGTACTTTTAAGTACTAATTATATTTACATGAAATGGTAAGCACACTGAGATGAGCACTTACTTTTAACATCTATTAACTTCTCTCTTGGTGAAATGTCAGAAGACAGCTGTTCCTTTACTTTGGCAACATCTTTTGGATGTAAGAAGTCAAATAAGCTCTGTCCAGTCAAACTAGCCTATATATAAAGTAGACATTCATTTAAAATCAGTACCATAATTTTCCTACCTATCTTCATAAAGACATAATACTTTCTTTTGTTAAAGTTGTTTTTAGTTAATCTCAAAGATGCATCTACTACACTGTATGAGAGCAACAGTGTTAAAAGCAGGGTCATACCTGTAGACAGAAAAAGAAATACATGCACAGCCAGCCATAACTGGGTACACACAAACACCTCACCAATGGTATTCTGTTTACTCTCATTAACTCTTGTTAACATCCCCCCATTCATATATGTTACTTCTAAGTCATATTAGGATTTATTTTAAACTTTACCCTTGGTGCCCTAGCTGCTTTGGCTCAGTGGATAGTGCGTTGGACTGTGGACTAGAAGGTCCTGGGTTAGATTCGGGTCAAAGGCACATGCTCGGGTTGCGGGCTCAATCCGCAGTAGGGGGCGTGCAGGAGGCAGCCGATCAATGATTCTCTCTCATCACTGATATTTCTCTGTCTCTCTCCCTCTCCCTTCCTCTCTGAAATCAATAAAAAATATATTAAAAAAATAAATAAAAAATAAACTTTACCCTTGGTAAAAGTAAAGCGAGTATATTATCATATCATATGGAAGTCACAAAATAACTGTGAAGTTATGGTGTAACTTAGATTTACCACTCTGTTAAAAAAGTTACCATACTATCAAAAGACAAAATCCAACCCAGGACACAGCCCAATAGAAAGAAAGCGTTCAGAAAAAGAGCTCAGAAATCTGTTTGTTCAAAAAAACTAAACATAGTGTGGGAAATATCCTTTGCATACCTGATCATAATTAAGTATTTTGGAGACTGACTTAGAAACGAAGAGAATTTTTCCTCTTTCACATCCAACCACAAACAGGAAGCCTTCTGCAGTCTAGGATATAAAAATACAAAAATAAATTTTAAAAATATCATCTGTCTTTCTCACACACATCCATTCCCTTTCTGAGGAAACTGTTGTAGCAATAAAACCAACAGAGTGGTCATAAATGTAGTAAAATTAATTTTAAGAAATTGTCTTAAGATGTATATAAATAGATTTATAAAGAACATCACCTTGGACCTCTGACTAAATTAATATGTTTCTTTTTCACATGGGAAGTTCGGCCAGGGATTATTTAGTTAAATATTTCACAATGTAAAAATTACCTATACCAAATTCCACACGACTGCATACAGAAACTCTGTAGAGATACCCATCAGTAACGACTGCCTGTGGATGTGTGCAGATGGAAAGATGTGCATACTGGGGACGAGGAAGGCATGAAAGTATTTTACTGTACATCTTTTTATACTTCTTGAATAATGATAAGCTATCAATCAAAATTAAGTTTTAAGAATTCTAATAGATGGCAACTTCCATAAGTATACCCAGTAAATCCCCTGTGCAGCAACCTTGGAAATGGATATGTATGGACAGAGGAAGAGTCTGGCACTCCCACCTGACATTTCTTAAACTAATGTTTACCAACTGGAAACAAACATGGCGTGAATTAGGCAGACGTGTTCTGGGGGTTATATTAAGTTATGGCTAAAAAAAAAAATCAGTGAGAAAGCTTCCAAAGCATGCTATATATTTCACCGTCTTTAAAAATAGTTTTGTTTTCTGCAAAAAATCTGTGATATTCCTATCAGGAATATGATATTTAAATTCAGCTGTTCAAATAAAAGACAGACATGAAGAATACTTTTGTTTAATCAAACTATAGGTTAAAACCCAGTAGTCATAGCACAAGATCAAGACACTTAGTTCTGGGGGCAGGATGAGCCAATGACGTGGTCATATTTTCCATGTCAAATAAACCTCTAGACCAGTGAATCCAAAACCCATGCCAAAGCATGGCCTAACAACTCATTAAGTAAGCAGTGGCTGGCTGATGGGCAGAGAACAGGATCCTGAAGGAATAGGATACAAGACAGACGGCTCTGCAGGAGGTACCGGTGAGGAATAGGTCCTACCGTATGGGAGGTGAGTGCACTCGGCAGTGTGAGGGGCTTGGCATTAAAGACAAGCCTTGCTCCATATTTTAGGAAGTGCCTCGCTTCGCTCTCTACTTTCATTAGCCCAAACTAATAAGACATGGTTACTTGTGTAAGTTAAATTTTATATTAAAGGAAATTTGGTGTAATGTAGAGTCCTGTATGTTTAGAACAGAAAGCAAACTAAAGAAAATCTACCTCCCATTCAAATAGAAATAAAAGGGCAAATGCAACTTAGGCAAATACATTTCTTTATTTACCTTAAGGACTAGGTGTCTGAGCTCATTATCCTGAATAAATGAAGGTCGATAAATATCTCCTGCATAAGAATTTCTCATACCTAAAAATAAGCAAGTCAAAAAGTTACTAAAAATATAGTAGGGTTGGGTTGGCCATGTGGTAGATGCTCAGTGAACATTAGCGATGCTGCCACTGGTGAGAACAGTGATGGTACTTGTAGCGCATCCTACGACCTCTTCTGTGATCGTTCTCTTTCTTTTTTTAAAATCTTTAAATTCTTCATTAGTTAAGGAATTACAAATGTGTCCTCATTCCCCCCCATTAACCCCCAACCCCCCTCCCACTCATGCTCCCATCCCCCTGTTGTTACTAGATTAAAAAGTCCTGCGTTTAGAATGTAAATTCTTGGAACCACTATTCCTTTATAGATTGAAATGTGCAGATAGTAAGAGCTGTATGTAAAAAAAAAAAATCAATACATCATCTATAGCATTATAATAGGTAACAATATTCAAAAACCTAGTTATTTTTAGATCTTAGCTTAATAAAACTAATCTCATATGAACTACCTTGAATGGGGCGATTCTGGAATTCTAAACAAATTTCATGGGTTCATAGGATTTTGCATATGACCCTTTAAATATCACATGGCGACGTCTGCTACTTTAAAGTAATATATTTCTGCTAATATAAATAAAATAATTCTTTTTACATCCTTAGCACAGAGCTTATTGTATTAAAATGAAATTCTCTAAAGCATCTGAAGAGCTAATGAGGAATCATCAGCTCAAAACAGGAATGCTTGAGGGCATCCAACAACCCTGACACAGGAAAACCCTGCATGGCCACAAGGGGGCGCAGGAGACAGGCCACCAACCAAGGTGTCCCCAGATAACTCTGAGCGGGGTGATTCCGAGGTAAATCAATGCTCTCTCCTTTATACTTCCCAACCTCCTTACCCTCAACCCCCTCCTTCTGAGGACTGCAAGGAAAGTTGCTTTTGCAAGAGAAATTTTAACCACGAATTGACTCTTGAATGGATTTACAGCCCAAACTCACCAATTACCTAAGGGGTGGGAGGAAAACAAAGCCAGAAAATAAAAAAACATCTCTTATTATGATTTGGTAAAGTGTTTTTCTCAGACTGGTAGCACCCCTGAGAACCTGGCATAAGCAAAAGAAAATCTTCTCTTCTGGAATCTACCTTCTAGGAGGCCTCAAAGAATTCACTAAGTGATTTCTTGTTACTACTATACAGCAGCCAGATAGGAGAGCACTGAGAAAGGGCTAAAAGATTCAGACTCTGAGTGCTATGCTAGGATTCAGCAATAAATCAACCTGAGCAAGGAAGTGACATTTCCAGGTCTGGCCCGAAGCAGAAGCCTGCCAGGGAAACCCTGATAGTATGAACCAGCAGGAAGGGGCGAGCCCTGGAGAGGTGAGTGAATGAGTAAATGAGTGAGGATGTGCTGAGGAGAAACAGAGGGAGTAAGAGCAGAGCTGGAACCAGGGTGAGGAGAGTTAATAAAACGCAAGCTGTGATATGCTGTACGCTTGCCAAAGTTGGGCAGGTAAGAAATATGACTAATTTCTGATGGCAAAAACAAATGAGGAAACAATCATTTACTTTTGTTACAGTGTTCATCAGGTTAAAAAAAAAGTCAACATGACAATAATAATAATGATTGTTATAATGAAAATAATCATTATAATGATAACTAGAGGCCCGATGCATGAAAATTGTGCAAGGGGCTCAGCCCTCGAAGCCCCAGCTTTGTCCAGACGGTCTCGTTCTGCTGTTCAGTCTAATTAGCATATTAGCTCTTTATTATAAAGGATAGGATAATGGTCAAAATACCAACTATTTCTTCTCCTCCCCTTACCACCACTTCCATTGTTAGTAAACACTGTGTTCACCTTGTATATGCATTATTCTTTACTCTAAACAACAATCCTATGAGACAAATGAATTATCCCTATTTTTACAGCTATGGAAGTTGAGGATTAGAAAGTTAAGTCATGCCCTAACTGGTTTGGCTCAGTGGATAGAGCATCGGCCTGCAGACTGAAGGGTCCCAGGTTCGATTCCAGTCAAGGGCATGTACTTTGGTTGCGAGCACATCCCCAGTAGGGTGTGTGCTGGAGGCAGCTGATCGATGTTTCTCTCTCATCGATGTTTCTAACTCTCTATCCCTCTCCCTTCCTCCCTGTAAAAAATCAATAAAATATATTTTTTTAAAAAATAAAGTTAAGTCGCATAGCTATTCAGTCGGGGAGCCAGGATTTGAACCCAGGAGGTTTGCCTCCAGGACCCACAGGCACGCACTACCGTCCCAGGTATTAAGACCACACACACAGAATGTCCACAGGTTCTCCAAAAGCACACGCTGCAAGCAGGGCTACTCCAGGTGTGGTCTATAGACCAATGTGATCGGTCAACTGTGGTGCGATGAGTACAGAAATTAAGAATAAGCATTTAGACACCATTATAGAAATGTAACCTTGTGGCATCCCAGCCCATGAACATTTTTCCAAGAACCAACTGTGCTATATTTTACAAGGGATGGGGGTGGGGAACACTTGCCCTTCACCCAGAGAGTTTGAGAAGCATGCTGTAGAGTGCAGTAAAAAAAAAAAAATTATTTCAGCATTCTCTTTCTTTAAGGTAATTATGTACAGACCAAAATAGCATGATCCACACGCAGCCTCTGATGACCCAGTGTCTCTGGTGGGGGTGAGTTGGGGAGCACTCTGGTAGAGCGCCGGAATGCAGACAACTGCTTTTAGTCCTCTCGCTGTGGCAGCACTCGCGACATCCTCACTTTGGCTCTGAAGGGCCACTGGTGAAATCTATGCCCTGTTCCAGAAATCCTCTCTTGGTGCAGACAGTGTCTCCTGCCTACTCTCCTTTCACTCATTCCTCCACTGTAACATTCACTGATCTCTTCATGGGTCCATCTCCCTCAACCGGCCGTGAACCCTTCAAGCACGGAGATCTCACCTCATTCGATTTCATATCCCCAGCACAGAACAGGAGCCCTGTCAACAATCAGCTGGTGTGGGTTGAATTAACTGACTCATGGCTTCTCCCTTAGGTCCTCCTCCCTCGGGACATTGCAAATGTGAAAATTATTGGGCAATTTTAGGTTTGCAACCAAATGACCTCAGTTGAGCCTGCAAATGTTCATTGCTAAAAGATTTAAGGGAAATATTGCGTGCAACTTATGCAAGACCTAGTAGTAGGTAAAAGAGAATCTTATTTATGTCATTTAACAACAGACTTAGGAAAATAAGACTGCCAATGATGCTCCCAACAGGAAGCCTGCCAGGCAGTATCCCAACACTTGAGCTGCTCAGCGTGGCACTGACAGCATCAAGGGCTGCACTTCCTCTTCCCCAGTGCCTCCTCTCCAGCTCCGCACAGAGTCCGCGGGTGGAAGCGCATGTGCCATTTTCCTACCATATGTGGAGATCTAAGAAAGATGATTTAAAGTATCTATTTTTACAACTTGCACAAGTTACTTGGTGTTTTGTCTTTAATAGCTGTCTGCAATTTTACTTCCTAATTTGTATATGCTCGCCCTCCCCTACCTCTGTCAATCAGAATGGATTGGCCAGGATTTTTTTGTTTATTATGAAATAAGATCCTCTTTGGGCTCCAGTTTTCACTGGAAGTCTAGGTTAACACTGTTCTCCCCTGTCACTTGGCCAAGTCCCTCTAAACAGACTTTCCTTTCCTGGAATGCAATGTAGGAGGACAAAGATCTAATCAAGAACCTTGGTCATCCTTTGTTTGTTCCTTTTCTATAACTTTTTTTTTTTTGGTGTTTTGTTTTTGGTGGGGTTTTGTTTGGCTCAAAAAGAACCAAATTTTACTATAATCTTTTAGATCTTCACAAATCTGAACTTTCAGAGTCTCCTCTGTGGCCTGTAGCTCACTCCTCTGCTACATCTTCTCAAAATGAATTCGTGTCGTTAACATTCCCGTATCTAAAACTCAATTCTATTTCCATCATACTGCCCCTCCCCCAAGTTGGCCTGGGGTTACTCCCCAAAACAATGTGATTTTGACCAAACATACGCACACATACACACTTCAATTTAAAATTCTAGCTCAAGTTGGGGAGCTGCTTGGGTCAGAAATGGCCATGAAAACCCCGGAAGCAATAGCTGAGACCTCCTTCATCCAATGTCTAATACAAAGTGAGAACCCCCTAGAAGAGGAAGGTGTGCTGCATTTTAAGGTACTACTGCTCATAAATCTGACGTTTTCGGAGAAATTGGCTGAATTTAAGATTTTCTTTTCGAAGAATGGAATCTGCCAACAACTAAAACCATAATCATACATTTCAGAGCTTCTAAAATACTGAGAGGCACATAATGGCAGGCATTACTATCTTTGTATTACATACATGGGAAAACAAGTAGAAATGTAAAGACTTCAAATTCACATATAGCTGAAGATAAAGCTTTTAGCAGAACCAAGTTTCCTGACGTCCAAATTAGCATCTTCTCCACATATAGAATATGGTCAGGCATCGAATTAATGTCTCCAAAGCTAAAAGACACCTTCGCAAAGCATCTCAATAGCCAACAACAAGAAGCCAGACCAATCGGAGACCTCAGTGACTGGGAGGATGTCACAAAGCCAGGTGTGGAGGCCATGTTCAAACTCACCTTTTAGAGACTTCAGGTGCTGCACGGCCATTCTTAAAACGGTCAGTTTGTCCAGCTTCCGTGCCATGGGCTTGCACTGGGGGATCATTGCAGACAGTTCTTCGATCAGGCTGTTCATTTTATCTCTCCTCCGCTTTTCGGTTTGGCTGTGAGCTTCTCTAAGAAGGAAAAGAACCAACTTCCTTTACATTTCACATTCAGCAGCCCCACGGTGACCCAGAGGCGTGAGCTGGAGCCTGCATGGAGGCAGCAAGTACACACTGTTCTTCCCACCCATGGCCCTGCAGGTGCTGCGTGGGGAAGGGGAAGGAGCTGTTGGGAACAGGGAAGCACACATGAAATTCACAGTGCTCTCAACTCAGCCACTACCCTTGCTCCTTCCTTACCCTACCTTACATCCTGACACCTTCAAGAACTAAGACATTTGTCTGAGAGCCAGGATGGGTGGTATTCTTGCTTCCCTCCAGTCTTAAAGGAAGATGGGTAGCCTTCTATTCAGAGCTCACGCCTCTGTGATACTCGCTTAGACAATTATCAGCATCGTAACCTCATTCTCTTCCATCGCTCTTTCTCAGGGGTCTATAATGTGCTCCAGTTTCTGCCCTCTGCAAACGCCCTTCCCCTAGTTGCCCTTGAACTTGACACTGTTAACATTCCTTTCTTCACCTGGCTTCAGTGACCTCTCGGGCACCTCCATCCTCCCTGCTCGGCTCAGTCCCCTTATCTTTAAGTACAGGTTTCTCCAAAGACTTCTTACTTGGCACCACTCTTTTCTCACCCTATAGCTTCACCTAAGAGATCTCACTCCCTCATAACTACTCATAAGCTACTTACTTTTAAATGCTTATACTTTACCCAGTTCCTGACTTTTTAAGAATTTATCTTAACTGATAAAAGTTACACAGATGAACCTTTTCCCTCATTGACCCCTTCTAGACTACCCTCTCCCCTCATCCTATGTGTCATGCGTATCTTCAATATATATAAAACCCTAATATGCAAATAGACTGAACAGCAGAACAACCGGTTGCTATGACATGCGCTGACCACCAGGGGGTGCACATGGAACATAGTGGGGTGCCGGTTGCTGTCATCGGGGCAAGCCTCTGGTGGTTACTGAAAATTCTTTGCTCCCGCACACCGCCATCCCACCTGGTGCTCACATCTGCTGCCGGCACTGGCCCCGCTTGAACCCACTGCCAGCGCTGGAGCCACCGTTCCCACCCACAGCCAGCGCCCGGCGCTAATCCCAATCGCTCGGCACCATCAGTGTGTGCAAGCAATGGGTGCCAGCCCCGATCGCCCCTCAGGGCTTCTCCACTGCCCCCTGCTCCTGAGGGGCGATCAGGGTCGGCAACCACCTCTCGCACCCACAGCTGGCGCCAGAGCCACTGCTCACACCCGCTGCTGGCACGCGGCACCAGTCCCGATCGCTCAGCACTGTCAGCGGGTGCGAGCAGCGGCTGCCGGCCCCTATCACCCCTGAGGGCTTCTCCAGCTCCCCCTGCTTTGGTTAATCTCTTCCCACCCATCCACTCACTCCCTGCCTTCCCTCTGAGATTCACCCGTTCATTTTGTTCTTTAGATTCCACATAAGAGTGTGATCATGTGATACTTGACTTTCTCTGACTTATTCTGCTTAGCATAATACTCTCCAGGTCCCTCTGTGCTGCCTCAAATGGTAAAATATCCTTCTTTACTGCTGCATAGTATTCCATGGTGTAAATGTACCACAGCTTTTTTATCCACTCATCTACTGATGGACACTTATGATAGCTCATTGCTCTAACCCAGAAAGCCTTTTAAACTCATATTCCTTCTTCTGTCTTCCCTTTCCCGTCTATCCTGCCCACTACTTCCAGAATTATTACTTCTAAACAAATCAAACCATCTAATCCCATTGCACAAAACTGCCAAAATGCATTTCTCCACTGCCCAAGAATGGCCAAACTCCCTAATGACACTCCAAATTTCTCCATCCTCTGCCTCATCCTTTCAACTCTTTTTCACCTCTCCCTGTCTTTTCCCTGCTGCTCCAAATGTCATGCAGCAGCAATGCCAAATGACCTACAGTCCTCAAACATGCCACATCACCTCATATCATCTCTATGTCTTGCTCTTTACGAGGCTTAGAAAGTCTTTCCCTTCTGTATTCCTAGGGAAATGCTACTCCTTTTTCAAAGCCCAGCTCAGGTACTCTTCTGGGAAGCTTTCTTTGCCTGCTGTATAATTAATCACTTCCCTCTCAGCTACCCCAGGACTTTTTATGTCACCACTATATTTCATCAAATCTAAGCCACAATCAATTGTAAGATGCACTAATATTTAATGCATTACAAGAAGAGGAAAAAATGCTGCTAATTTAACAGGAAAATGCCAAAGATGATAAGACATTTTTCACAGATTATAAAAGGTAGGGGGAACTGTACATCTTAGATTTCACAAATTTGGCTATTTTACACTTCATATTTAACTGTAAACATTTGTCTGTTTCTCCTCCAATCATGACTTCTATGTTAGAAGAGTTTAGGGGAAACAACCTAATGGGAAAGAAGATAAGTAAGCAGGAGACCTGCCTTGATCTATTTTTATAGGAACTTTAAAATACATGAAAGGAACTGTAATATTTCTACATGGAAGTGGGGAGCAGCACTGATGGAGACAGATGAAGCTAACCTCCCCACTTCCCAATCATTCACTCTTGGGCAACGCCACTCCTGGAACAAAATATGCACTTTTGGGTAAACTGGATGGAATGGGAATTATATGTGTGTTGGCATAAAATTTATTGACTCATACTTTAGCCTATTCATGAGCAATTGTATAATTAAAAGAATGTTACAGTTACCCTCTTGCAGGAATGGTCACCTGTTCTTTCTACCAGTATTACCCATCAGAATAGACAGCAGCAACAGCGAGAGAAGCCTGATTCCAGGAGTGTACAGCAAAGGAAGGATGTTATACTCTCAGCTAGGGTTTTGAGGGAGGTGAGAGCAAGGCCACTGAAGAGAACAATGAATGATAATGGTGGAAGCTAGGAAACTCACAGAAAGGTGAGATCGCCAGTTTTTTAATAAGGTAGGTTGCTTGGAGGAGAAATGAAAAGATTTCCAGCGGATTTTATTAAGGAAAGGCATATGTATCCAGAGGCTAGTTTCTGCTTAATAATTTATCAGGGCTCTGGTTCTTAATTCTGTATGCTGTTATGGCCACTTTGAATCATGTCAGTGTTTGGGAGAATTATATCAATAAAACAGAATCAATGGAGAAAAGGCAAAGCTGAGATCTGGCCATGCTGCCAGATGTAGAAAAAAATGTTGTTGATGTTGAAACAATTGACAAAAAATTCATGATGACGGACTCCTAATCAGATGTTTGTTGTATTTCTGATTTGTTTACAGCATGAATCAGCTTCTCTCCAGTGCTGAAAGAAAATAATAGTTCTTAATAAACAGCTATTCTAAGAAAAATTCTAAGACACATAAGCCAAATTGTTATTCAAACAGAAAAGGAAGGTAAGAGGTAGCTGATGGTCACTACCTCTTACAGCAAAAGATGAGAAAAACCTAATATTCATGAATCCATTCTCTTGACATCACCTTTGGCTTTGGCTAAAGGTGTGCATGTGTGACTTTTTCGATCCACCATGGACCATCTATACAGTTCAACGCCCCGAAGGACTTCATTTTTACTTGTTCACCATCTTCCATTCTACAAAAAGCAGGATAAAATTTCAAACTACATGAAACAGCTTTTCAGTAATTCTTGAGAGAGAGAAAAAGATGAGATTAAGTCCAATCAACCTAATTTCCTATTAAGTCTGCAGTAACAGATACTATCATAGCTCCTAATGACCTGAAATGACTTCTACTGTTACATGAGCTTTTCTATGAAAGCCAAGAAGTACATCTTCTCTGTCGGGGTAACAACTACGTTAACTGACAACAAAAACTGGTGCCCGAGTTAAAAATTATCCCATGCCAATATATTAAGAATATAATTTTATAGAAATAAAGTTATTCTTTTTAAAGCAATTGATGGCTTAACCAAAAATTTTTATAGTAGCTGCAATAGAATAGCCTGAAAATGCACTAAAAGTCTCAGACCTTTAATCAAAAGGAATTTATTTTACCTAAAGATTCATCTGAATAAGAAATATTGAAAACTGAAAACTTTGATCACTTGCCAATAATATTAATTATCACATTACTACATTCTGCTAGGGAATATACTATATGTACACATATGTGTGTATAAATATTTATATCTAAACATACATACATGTGTTTGTATTAATTTAGAAATTTAGTCACCAGACCACTACCAAAGTGAATACACTAATGGTGATAGAGTACTTTCCACATTAACAAATTATTTCCAAATATATTATTTTTTTGAAGGGGCATTTTAAAATTCAGGAAAAGCACCCATAATCTTACCTGGAAATAACCACAGTTAATATTAATGGGTCTCCTTCCAATCTCTCTTTAAACATGTATTTAAATACATACCAAAAAAAGAATGCTAGCTTTCTCTGAAAACTATTTTCATTGCATTTTGAATAAAATGGAGGCCTGCTCCCTGAATCAACCACAGACAAATTAAATTGAAAGCAAATACAATCAAAACATTCTCCAGATTTACCCTTTTTCCTACCTTCTTCTTCTTGAAACTTGCTCCCTTTGGTTTCTGAGATACTACTCCCACTGTAGGCCAGGTCTTCTCACATGTTGGGTAGGATTCCCCTTCCTTTACTGTATTTAGGCTCGTGTACCAGAGTATATCCTCAGCCCCTGAGTGGCTGCGCCCATGCCAATCACCACACCTGTTTTCTGTGCACTCATGGTGTCTGACTCTAGCTCCAGGCCCAACCTCAACCCTCATAGCCACCCGCCTACTTGAAGAGCCCATACACATCACATTACCATTGTGTCCAAAACTGAATTCTTCCTCTTTACCTCAGCCTCATGGAATGATACCAGCATCCATCCATCCAAGTCAGAAAACTCAAAAGACACTTATTTTCCTGCTCTCCCTAACAAACAGTCATGAAATCTAAAGAGATTCCATCTTTAAAACGTGTCCTTCCTGTCCAGGGCTATGCTCTCAATACCTAATTCCTAGTCAAAGTCTCTCAGCTGTTTCCTCTACCTGATGGGTTTTCCTCCTTCAGCCCACCCTCCACGCTGTTTCGAGTGATCCTTTGAAAACGGATCACTTACCAGGATAGCTTTTTGCTTTTTTAATGGAAAATAACAAGTGTCCGCAAGAATGTGGAGAAATGGGATCTTTTGTACATTGCTGGTGGGAATGTAAAATGGTGTAGCCACTGTGGGAAACAATTTGTTGGTTTCTCAAACACTAAATATGGAATTACCATATCTACTCCTAGGTATGTACCCAAAAGAATCGAAAGCAGGTACTTGTACACCAATGTTCCTGGAAGCATTATTCACAATAGTCAAAAGGTGGAAACAACCCAAATGTCCATCAGCAGATGAATGGATAAACTAAATGTGATATATACTAACAATGGAATATTATTCAACCATTAAAAAGAATGAAATTTGAAAACATTAGGCTAAGTAAAATAAGCAGTCACAAAGGGACAAATATTGTATAATTTCACTTATATGAAATATCTAGAATAGGCAAATTTATAGAGCTAGAAAGTAGGCTAGAGGTTACCAGGGACTGGGGGAAAAGGGGCATGGAGAATTATTATTTAATGGGTACAGAGTTTCAGACTGAGGTGATAAAAAAGTTTTAGAAATAGACAACGGTGACAGCTGAACATTAAGTGGGACTAATGCCACTGAACTGTACTCTAAATGATTAATATGGAAAATTTTGTTAGATATTTTACTACAATAAAACGTTTTTAAGTACAAAGGCAAGAAATTTTAAGAAATGTAATCTGAAGAAAAGTTCTCATGCTTAAAATCCTTCCATTTTTCTTACCACATTCAAGATAATTTTGAGATTCTTTTGTTCAGCGGACCTTCGGGATCTAGGCCACGTTTATCTCTCAAGTCATAGCTCCTCCTCCATGTGCACCCTCTGCTCTATGTGACAACTTGTTTCCAGATCAGCAGTGTGCTTTCCAAGCATCTTCTCTACGCCTGCTCTGAATCATTCATTTACACTATTCATTTAAAAGGTAGTGTATCTCAACATCTCTAAAAATATTCTTGATCCCAATATTATTTAAATCCCCAACTTTATTTGTTGCCATAATACCTAGGATCTCTAGTATAGCAGTTCTTATGATGTGTAATAATTATTTGTATCTTTTCCATTTGTATGAGTTTCTGGGGTCTTATCTGTATCTCTCCCTCCTGGTCTACTAGGTGTCACATAGTAGGTACTCAATAAATGCTTAATTACTACATTCCAGGGACTCTTCATCAATAACCCCTTTAGAGAACCAACTCTCCATTCAAAACCAACAGGGAAGAAAGGATAAACATTCTTAGATATTCTTCTTTGTTTATAAATATCTAATACTTTGAGGTTCCATGAACAAAATCAATTTCATATCTATTGACTGGTTTTCATGCCCTGAGTCTCTAGGAAGGAAACTATATAAATGATGAGTAAGGTGAGAAGCAAATTAGGAAGACAAGTCTCTTGCTGTGGCCATAAACATTAAATAAATTAACCTTAGGTTGTTATACGTCTTCCAGACTCCACTTGACCCTTCTGGATACCTAATAACCTTCAGATATGGACTGAAAAGTGCCAGGTCAGTCAATGACAGAGGTGGCAGTTGGATGGATAACTAATTGCCCCTATCCAAATGTTACCACATCTAATAAATAAAATTAATGACTTAAAAAGTAATCTTGTTCTTTCTGTCCCTAGAGTCAAAGATTTAATGAGGTTAAAGGAACAAATTCACTTACTGGGACAGATCCAAATCATTTTCTTTTCGTTTTCTTGGAAACTCTGTCACGTGTGGGTTGAAGGATCCAACAGCTGTTGGTTTTGCCCATATGCTCATACGATTGGAAACCATTGGAGCAATGAACCAGTTGTCTTCTATCAATACTTTACCTATAAGAGGTAAAAAGATAAAGCACAATCCTATATAATAAAAGGCTAATATGCAAATTGACCGAACAGCAGAATGACTGGTCACTATGATGCGCACTGACCACCAGGGGGCAGACGCTCAATGCAGGAGCTGCCCCCTGGTGGTCGGTGTGCTCCCACAGCAGGAGTGCCGCTCGGGAAGACACCGGACTCACGGCTGGTGAGCGCAGCGGTGGTGGTGGGAGCCTCTCCCACCTCCGTGGCAGTGCTAAGGATGTTCGCCTGATGACTTAGGCCCGCTCCCCCCCACCCCAGGACATCCCCCAAGGGCTCCCAGTCTTAAAAATATCAACTAAACAATATAACATAGAAAGAATAATTGTGTACATTTAAATATTAGAAATGTATTTGTTAGTCCATACTTTTAAATTTATTTTTCTCAATCTAATTGTTAAAAAAGTGAATATTGAAGAAAACATGGAAAACACAAAGAAAGTAGAAAGGAAGGGGGAATACCAAATTTCACAAACCAATGTTCCAATTTAGAGATTTCCTTTTAGAATATCCCTACAGTTATCATTAAAGTAATTGAAAGCATCATGTATACTGTTTTATTTATACATCATTGTGATAACTTTACAGTGTTATTACAAATTCTTTATAAAATTATTCTAATGGCTGCATAATACACCATCGTGTAGATGTGGCATAGCTTCTTAACTACTCTGCTGCTGTTAAAATGTATGTTTTTTATTTTTCACCATCACAAATATGTATTGTGGTACATAAAGCCTTTTATCTACTGGTTATTTCTTTTGAAAAGCATCCCAGAAATGACTTAACAAGGTCAAGAGACAAGAATATTTTAAACCCTGAATTAATAAATATTACAGTAAAACCCTTTTTGTCTAAAGTGTGTTTTTGTCTGAAGTGTGGTTTCTTACCTGTTTAATGAAATATAAAAATCAGAATCATTAACTAAAAATAACCTACAGCCCAAATGTGAGCATCCTTCACATATTAAAATGCATAAAACAAGTTTAAACTCATTTGTACCCTGAATTATATGTTGAAAAGATATAAGCAATATTTTACAAGGAGAGTGTAATCAATCTATAACAGTGGGCAAGTTTTAATATATCTCTATCAGTAACTGATAGTTTGAGCATTCCGGAATAATGACATAAAAGATCTAATCCACACAATGAACAAGCTTGATATAATAAACATAGAGGCCATTCCAAATCCCGTGTTGTTTTAGAGTACCCATGAAGCATTTATAAAAATTGACAATATACTGGACCAAAAACAAAGTAAATCTCAACAATTTCAAAAGATTGATATTATACATAAAACATTTTCTGACTACAGTGTAATTATTAGATAGCAGTAATAAAAAGATAAGTAGAAAAAAACTTATATCTTAGAGAATTAAGAAATACATAATTAACTCATGGGACAGGAAAGAATTCAATGTAAAATTATAAAATATTTTGAACTAAATAATAAAAATACCATACAGGAAAATGTGTAGAGACAGTGAAAGCACTGCGTAGAGGGAAATTTTAACCCTAAATGTTTTTTTAAAAAAGGCTGAAATTTAATGAGCTAATAGCTTAAGAAATTAGAAATAGATGAGTAAATTAAATTCAAAGAACTAAAAGAAAGGAAATCATTAAAATAACACCACAAATAAATAGAAATACAAGCAAGTATAGGTCAAAAAGCTAAACGTGTTCTTCCAAAGATAGGAAAATCTAATAACCCTATGGCAAGATTTTTCAAGAGAAAATGAGGGTATAAACAAATAAAGATAGAAATAAGCACGGAGTCATAATTTTAGATGACCTAGAGATTTGAAAGAAAATAAAATCTCATGAACATTATTCTAAAGATTTGAAAATAATGAAAAAATTGTCAGAGAATTGTAACTAACAAAACAGAAGCAAAAGGAAAAACTTATGCGTGCATATAAGCCTAACCAATGGACACAGACAACAGTGGGGTGAGGGCATCAGGTGGGCTAATGGGGGGATGAGGACACATTTGTAATACCTTAATCAATAAAGAAATTTTAAAAAAAAAGAAAAACTTGCCCTGGCCTGGTAGCTCAGTTGGTTAGAGCATCATCCCGATAGCCAAGGTTGTGGGTTCGATCCCCAGTCAGGGCATATACAAGACACAACCAATGAATGCATCAATAAATGGAACAACAAAATGATGTGTCTCTCTCTTTCCTCTCTTAATGTCCCCTCCTAACCCCCAACACTCTTTTTTACAAAGCTTATATCATTTTGATATTAAAACCTATCTCATTCATGAAGATACAAAAATCTTAACAAAATATCAGCAAACAAAATTCATAACTGTATAAGAAGAATAACCCATCATGACTAAGATAGCTTTATCCCAGAAATGCAAGTCTGGTTTAATATTAGTAAATAAATGTATATAATTTACCACAATAACAGATTAATGAAAAAATGATTATATCAACAGAAATATTAATGAAGACTGAAAGCATTCTCTTTACAATCAGAAACAAGAACACCTTCTATCATTACCCCTTTTCAAAATTATTTCACAAGACCTGCCAGTGGAGTAAGGGACCAAAAAAAAAGGTATAAGAATTAGAAAGAAAACTATTTTGCTACAATTGGGAAATGAGATGATTGAGTATACAGAAAACCCAAATAACCAACAGATAAACTATTAAAATCAGAGAACAGAGGAAGTTGGCTGTATGTAAGATCAATATATAAAAATCAGTTGTGCCCTGGCTGGTGTGGCTCAGTTGGTTGGGCGCCATCCTGTGCACCAAAAGGTTGCTGATTTAATCCCTGGTCAGGGCACATACCCAAGTTGTGAGCTCTATCCCCGATCCCTGGTAGGGGGAGAGCAGGAGGCAGCTGATGGATGTTTTGCTCTCACATCCATGTTTCTTTCGTCTCCCTTCCTCTCTCTCTAAAAATCAATAAACTATTCTTAAAAAAAAAAATCAATTGCTTTTCTATTCACCAGTAACAAACAGTAAGAAAATGACATTTAAAAAGAAACAATTTATGCCCTGGCTGGTTTGGCTCAGTGGACAGAGCGTCGCCCTGCGTACTGAAGGGTCCCGGGTTCGATTCCAGGCAAGGGCACATGCCCAGTTTGCGGGCTTGATCCCCAGTAGGGGTCATGCAGGAGGCAGCCGATCAATGATTCTCTCTCATAATTGATGTTTCTATCTCTTTCTCCCTCTCCCTTCTTCTCCGAAATCAATAAAAATATATTTTTTAAAAAGATTTAAAAAAGGAAACAATTTATAATAACATCAAAAACTATAGAGTACCTAAGGAATAAATCTAATAAAAATGATATGATCTATAAGATTTTTATGGAGAAAGTTATGAAAAGTGTACATAAAATATTTTAAAAGATCCAAATAAGTGGAAAGATACGCTTATGGATTCAAGGCCTCAATACCATAAGAATGTCAATTCTCCTAAAATAGATGAGCAATTACTGTCAAAATGAGTTTTTTGTGGGGTTTTTTTTTAGTGGAACTTCACAAGCTGAATATAAATGTATATGAAAGTACAGTGGGTCACGACTAGCCAAGGAAAACATTGGAGGACTTGCCTTATCAGATATCAAGACGTTATAAGACAATATACCATTGGCGCTACCCAGTGGGGGATAAACAGACCAAAGGAAAAGAAATATAGAGCCCAGATATGTATATATGGACATCTGCTAAATGTCAGAGGCGAAATTTCAGATCAACGTGAAGAAACCAACTTTTTAATAAATGGTCCCGGACTAATTGGTTTTCTCTAAGGAAAATAATAAAGCCGACTCCTATCTTATACCAAACATAAAAACCAACTCCAATTAGATATGAGACCTAAATGTAAAGGGCAAAAATATAATAGAGAAGACTCTAAGGAGAGAGAATATGTTTGTTATTGGTATAAGGAGAATTTCCCAAAACATAAAAAGTTAAATAAAGGAAAAGATTGATCGATTCGACTTCCTTACAATTAAGTTAATGTTGATCAAAAGGCAACATAAAGAGAATGAAACTATAAGTCATATATTTTGCTATACATGTAAACAACAAAGATCTAATATCTAGAGCATATAAACAACGCCTTTACTCTAAATATGACGCCAAATTGGGTCACTTCTCAATGAACAAAGGTAATACATGTTATTTAACACTCAGTAAAACAATTCAGAATTTAGATTGAACAAAGATACTGTTTTACAAGGGAAGTCTGGGGTTTTATTTTACTAGATGTACCAGTTAATAATGAGGATTTTTTTCAATAGATGGAGTTATACATATGTTGATATATATATATGCGATTTGATATGTATGCTATTTTGGTGTATTGACAACTAGCTTCAAAACTTCATATGTCAAATTTTCTGAAGGTGTTAACATCACAGATATTTTTACGCTTAAAAATGTCGAATTTCATGCCCCAAAAGAGCATTTGTGGGAAGTTTTAGTTCATTACTTTATTGTGAAGAAAAGTGCTGCTGTAAGTTATCGTATACTTCGGGAAGAATGTAAAAAATCAAAAAAATATATTTAAAAAAAAAAGATTAAACGTTGCTCAGCAAACAATTTCCGATCATTTACAAGCCATGGAAAAGATTTTAAAGGAAGAAAAATGAGTGCCACATCAACTGAACAGAAGACAAATGGAAAACCGAAAAGTCATCAGTAAAATGTTGCTTCAACGGCACGAAAGAAAGTCTGTTTTGCATCAAATTGTGACTGGCAATGAAAAGTGGATTTATTTTGAGAATCTCAAATGCACAAAATCATGAGTTTATCCAGGTCAACCACCAATATCAACTGCAAGGCCAAATCGCTTCGCAAAGAAGACAATGCTCTGCTTTTGGTGGGATCAGGAAGGTATGGTGTAGTATGAGCTTCTAAAACCAGGTGAAACCATAATACTGATCGCTACCAACAACAAATAATAAATTTGAACCACGCTAGAATGTGCCAGAAGACACA